ACACCCTCTGACGTCTGCTGCTATAGCTCAGGGGTTTCTTTTTTATTTTACCATATTGGGGAGGAAGTAGGATCCAGTACTGATGCTGGAGATCTGAGGTCCATAAGAGCTGGAAGGCACCATAGAACTGATCTGAACTGTCCCTGCTTTATAAAGAAGTGACTTGTCTAGATGTATGCACTCCTCAGAATCCTTCTCCAGTTCCACCCCATGCAAGACGCCTAGGATGGTCCTTGCCATACAGTTGCAGACCTCTGTAATGGGTCTTTAATCCCCACCACATGGAACCTTGAAACCAGAGTCTTTGTCTATCCAACTTTGTATCCCAAGACCTTTCACAGTGCCTGAGCTATATATGAACCACAAAGACATAAGTTCCAAACCCAGCTGACCAGATTCTAGTTGTACCTTTCCTACTCCCCAGGGCACCTACCCCGCCCTGCACCCATCCCCACACACACACACCCCTGCCCCAGTGTGCTCCCTGGGAGTATCCCAGTACTGATCCTGAAGGAATGAACCACTGCTGTTGGGTTGGCAACTGGAGTTTATTAGGTACTTACTGATACCCGTCAATCGTAGATAGGGCTGAAGTGCAGGAAAATGGCTGCCTGCATGAAGTGAAATTCAATAAAACCTCATTTTAAGTGAAAAATCAGTATAAACACCAGGCTTCTTTGCCATGGAAACAGAGGTTGCTTAGAAACTGCCTAACGGGGAGTTCTAAATTTTTTAAAGTCAACTTATCATTTAAGCTACATGGCCCTACAGGTTATTGAGAGATAATCACTCGCCTCAGGACATGCAGAGGCATGAGGCACAGCTGAGTGCTTCCTGTGCTCTGGGGACCAGGTAATCTCTTGATAACTGTGCTCCCTGGAGCCACTGATTTGGGCCTGGGGGGAAAGAGAAAGAAATTTTTGTTTAGGAGTTAAATAGTATACATAGATTTTTTGAAGTGTTTCTCTTTGTGTTTGAAAAAGCTGCAACTGTCCGTTTGGCATGTTCAGCAGCCATCTCCGGGTGTCTGGAGACGTATGGGGACATTTTCCAGGCCTTTTCCAAAGTCACTTCAAAGCAGAGGTCCTGCCTTTGTCTCTTGGCTTTTGATTATGCATAGGGGGCTTGTGAGGACTTTGTCTTTTGCTTTGGGCTCTTGGCTCCCTGGAAGTCCCTCTTCAGCCCAGGCTGGGTAGGAACTGGCTACGGAAAAAGGGGTACTGGAGTTTGGAACAGAGCCTGGCTGCTAAGCACGTAAACCTGACCTCCTGAGCCTTGGGCTCAGCTCTCGGGCTGAAGCCAGTGAGGGTCCAGGTTCAGAATTTGTCGTTGTTTAGAGTTCAGCAGGCCGCATGCCTCTCACCCAACACAAGCGCAGCTGCGCCTGCCAGCCATCTGCTTGTATGGCATGGAGTTCGCTCCCCACCTCAGGCATGTGGAGGGCAAAATATGCCATGTTCGTTTCTTCCTGAAAATAACAGACAAAATTAGAACCCATTGGCTGAGGATTGAGACCCCCTCCAAGACAATGTGGAAGAATTATGAGTGAGACAAAAGACAAATGTTTTGCCCTTTTCAGCGTCTGAGAATTATCCATGGAGGGCCATACTGCTAGAGTTGGTAGTGATAATTATTCCTTAGACACACACACATTCTCTTCTTCTCTGTGTCTCTCTCTGGAACAGTGTGTTCATTATACACTTCAAAGTGTTTCCCTGCACCTCCTCTCCTCAGAGCCTTAGATCAAACCTGTGAGGAAGGTGGGCCACCTGTGATCGTCCTCCATAGGAGGAGGCGGGAACAGGTTCACCAGGCAAGGTAATTTGCTGGAGCCACCAGAGACGGGAGAAGGAACCTGACATTGCAGCCCGCCATTTTGGGATGTAAACCCCTTTCAGAGCAAAGAAGTGATACCGCAAATAATTCTTCCAAGAGTTTGGCTCTTGTTTAACAAAAGAAGGTGAACTATCTTTGCTTCCCTGTTAGCATTTTATTTGGAGATCTTGCTGAGCAAAGAGAGTGGCTTCTTTCCTTTTCCTTTCCTGTCAATGAATACAACATCCACATTTAGCATGTTAAAAAGGGCTCAGAAAATGAACATTGCCACATTTTCATTCCACATCTTATGTCAGAGCAGAGCTATGGCTGAACTGGGCTGTGGTACCCCTTTGCTGAGTGTTGCCCAGATAAAAATATTCCTTGAAGCGAGAGCACCATGCTGTAGCTTGAGAAATTGTTCCAGTTCCTGGAGGGGAAAAAAATCAAATGAAACCATTTGCATTCTAACAGTCTTTGACACCAAGGGAAAACTGTCAGCTGTGTCACGTGTAAATAGAAATCTGCTTCCCGTTTTTGGTGTGTTTTTATCATTTCCCTTGCCACTCTAATTATCAAAGATATTTTTGTTTTTAAACAAAAATTGTCTCCCACGCAGGCCCATCTCCTTTTTGCAGTGAAGTGGAAATGGTGAATTAGAATATTCTAATCACTTCTCCAGCAACTACTGTGCAGGTTATAAACACAAGATTATTCTAAGTGAAGAAAACTTAAAATTATTTAGGCCCAGAACAGGCCCAAAATTTCAGAATGCCCCTTCCCACTCCCAACCTGCTTCCCTTACCCTCTTAGCATAAGTCTATTAAGCCAAGAAAGAGAACAAAATTGGCTTCACAGATGTGACACTCAAATCCTGAGGGCACAGGCTTTTCAGATTAAGGAAATTAAAAACCCAAAACTAAGTTTTGCTTAGCAATAATTTAATTTCTATTTGATGCTCAAATAAATGCCAGAGACTCCTAGAAATAGTTGGCAAGAATAAAATTTGAGCCGGGCACTGGTGGCTCATGCCTGTAATCCTAGCTAATTGGGAGACTGAGATCGGGAGGATCGCAGTTTGAGGCCAGCCTGGGCAAGTAATTCTCAAGACCCCAATCTCCAAAATAACCAGAGAAAAATGGACTGAAGATGTGGCTCAAGTGATAGAGTGCCTGCTTTGCAAGCATGAAGCTCTAGTTCAAATTCCAATCCCATCAAAAAAAAAAAAAAACAAAATTTTATTCATCAAGTAGATACTATGTACAGTTGTCCTGGGTATATGACAGGGGATTGGTTTAAGGGGCCCCCACAGGTACCAAAACCTGAGGATGCTCAAGTCTCTTACATAAAATGGTGTAGTATTTACAAAAAAACCTAACCTCGCATATGCTTTAAGTCACCTCTAGATTACTTACAATACCTAATACAGCGTAGATGCTGTGTAAACAGTTGTTACACTGCATTGTTTAGGGATGATGACAAGGAAAAATGTCTGTGCTTGTTCAGTCAGACACAGATTTTTTTCCCAGTGTTTTCAATCCACAGCTGGTTGAATCCATGGGTGGAACCTATGGATGCAGAGGGTAAACGGTATGGTTAGTTGGTAAATAGCTATCTTGTGCTAAACTCTGTAGGGTTTGATGTGCATTTTAAATCTCAGCAAAACCCTGAGTGAAGTTCATCTCCCATCTTTAGAAATGAGGAAACTGAGGCCAGACAAGTTGTATAATGTCCCAAAGCTGCTTAGCTAGTGATGCCATGACAACATGAATCCTGTTCATGATATTCTCACTTGGCAAATCCTCTCACAGACTGTAAATATTCCAGGGAAGGATGTCTTCTTAAGTCATTTGTGAGCCACCTAGTAAGTCACTGAGTCCTCATAAAAATTAGATCCAGGCCAGGTGCCAGTGGGTCATGCCTGTAATCCTAGATACTCAGGAGGTTCAAGGTTGTAGTCAGCCTGGGCAAAAAGTTCATGAGGCCCTATCACAAAAAATCCACCACAAAACAGGGCTGGCAGAGTGGCTTAAGTGGTAGAGCACATGCCTAGCAAGAGTGAGGTCCTGAGTTCAGGCCCCAGGACCGCCAAAAAAATGAGACCCTGTTTAATCAACAAGTATTACTGGATGCTTTCCACCTGCCATGCCAGGTGGCCAGGAACAGCAGTGAGCAAAACAGCCATAGTCTCTGCACTCAGGGTAATGCTTGGGCTGGGGCAGCAGGCTGCCAAGCTGGGGAGGCCTCAGTTCCTGGGGTTGAATAGCCAGACTTAGTTCCACAGTGTGCCTGTAGTCAGGTAAGTGAGATTTACACAGGGACTGTCGACCACGGTGGCCCTTGACACATAATGGATGGTTCTGAAGCAGAAGCTGAACAGGTATGAGACAAGGATGTGACCCAAAGTTCAGATCACGATAAAGAACCTCATTCTTGGTGGGTATATAATGGCCCAGGCTCTTGAGCTCTGTGTTTACCAGAATGCTATGGGCCAGGGCTGCCCCAGAAGATTGAAGGAGCCTAGCCAGCCAGCGGAGAACACATGTTCTGTTGAGTCTGATCCTTGTGGGCAAATGGACCCCCCATGGGGAGCCACAAGCATGCAGACTTCGAAGAGTCCATGACTCTTGGTGGCCAGAAAGGGTCCAACTTCAGAGTTCAGCAGTGAGACAAGGGCCCCCATGAGGACCTGGAGACACGGAAACTGGGAGGCTTGCCCAGAGTCTCCAAGCAAGACAGGGAGGGGCCGGTCCAAATCTACATGCTTCCCTCTTCCACCCCCACCATCCCTACCCCTCCTGAGCTGAGCAGAGCCTATAATGAAGAGTGAACCCTGTCATCTTTCTTGTTTTCAAAAATTCCAGCTTTATACTCCACAACTCCTGTATCTTTGCCAAGAGCTCACTTAATGTCAATACTGTTCTGTTCAGACTAATTACAATTTTATTCTATGTCAGTAGATACGAAACTGTTTACCTCTATTTCTGTTAGATTCTGGGACCAGCCTAATGGTCTTGTCTTAAGAACTAAAGTGGTTCACTGTGCTGTCTGAAATAATTTCATACTGTGATCAGTTTCTTCTCAGAGAACTCAGTAAACAGCCTCTGGGGTGAACAGCAACCCTCCTTTCTTCCTCTCTTCTCTGTTCTCTGTCTTGCCCACTCACACCTGGCTTCTCTCCACAGTGTCTTCCTCCACTTGATGAAAGTAGACCCGGATGCCACCTGGCTCCTCCTGAACCAGCTATATTGCCCTCTGCAATTCATACCTCCCCACCCCAGCCTCCACCCCGTGCAGCTGCAGGGGGCCACTGTGCAGCAGAACCCCTACACCACCAATGTACTCCGCCTGCTGCAGGAACTACAGTATCCCTCGAAGGCAGGCTCTGCCACCTGGAAGGAGCCACCTCCCTTCCCTGCCAGCCAGAAGCTGGGCTGAGCCAGCTCTGCCAACACCAGGGCAGCAACGCAGAAAAGATGGTGAAGGTGGAACAGACAGCCGATCGATGTGTAAATTGATCAGTCAGACAACTGCTTAGAAATTGGATTGAAGGAAAGTAGCTGACTGTTATTTATATTTCACATCTCGTGTTTTTAAATGACATTATCTGGGGGCTCTGGGAGTTTAACTCAGTCTGTGTCACCACAGCCCCATCTGCCCACCGACCACATGCACACGTGCACACCTGAGTGCTTAAGGGTCATGGGTGAACAAGGGCCGAGTTTAAGTGTCACACATCTAAGAACCTTGAGAGGGCAGCCCTGCCATCACACACACCCCCCTCTCAATCAGATGGAACTAATTTGTTGTACCTAAATTGTTCTTCCAAAGGATATGAAGTAAAGGCACCTCTTGGATGAGAAGTATGATCAAGAGCTCACTCTGAAGTTTGTTATTTAAATTGGATGATTTTTTTTTAAATGAGTTTATGGGTAATACAGAACCATGGTATAAAATCCAAACAGTACAAAACAGAAAACAGTAAAAAATAAGTCTCCCCACCTCATTTCCAAGCCATCTGGTTTCTCTTCCCAAAGGCAACCACTCAACAACTTTTTGGATATCTTTTAAGTAGGAAATTGATTTCTTAATTTTTAGTATGGCTAATCACGGAAGGAAGCCCATGTGAGGGGTGGGGAGTGTAGCTCAGAGGTAAAGTGTTTGCCTGGCGTGCTCCAGGACCTGGGTTCAGCAATACACACAAAGTCCATGCACCTGTGGTCAGTCTTGCTTCATGCATAGCCCTGCCCATTTAGCCAGCCCCACAATCCCCCAGGTTAACTTCAAGCAAATCCCAGCTGTCTTACCCAAGCTTTTATTTCTTGTGGTATTGGGGTTTGAACTCAGGGCCTCAGGGTTGCTAGGCAGGTGCTCTACCTCTGGAGCCACATCCCCAGTCCTTTTGCTTTAGTTTGTTTTTCAGATAGGGTCTCATGCAAACTTTGCCCAGGCTATTCTCAGACCACAATCTTCCCATCTCTACCTTCTGAACATCTGGGATTACATATGTGAACCACCACACCCAGCTTGTTTTGAGATAGGGTCTCACCACCTTTTTGCCTGGGGTGACCTAGAAGTGTGAACTTCCTGTCTCTGCCACCTAAGTAGCTAGGATTACAGGCATGTGCCACCACTCCTGGCCTACCCAAACTCTTAAATGTATAACCACAATACCATTGTCACATCTACAGAAAGTTAAGCTATCCTTTAATGTGGTCAAGGACTCACTCATTGACTTAATTTTCCCAGACATTTGAATCAGGATCAAAGTAAGTTATGTACATTGTGGGTCAGTGCGTCCCTTAATAAATCTCTTAATTTATCGATCCCCCTCTACCTCTCTCCTTCCCTTTCAAGTGTTTTGTGAGGAGACATCATTTATCCTGCAGCATTTCCCGCAGTCTGGATTTACTGATTGCATCCCCATGGCGGGTCATTTCACAGGCTCTTCCTGTCACCTGCATTTCTTACAAATTGGGAGGCAGAGCAAGAGTCTTGAGTGAGGTTTGATTTTTCCTCAGTGTTGTGTCCTGGTGCTAGTCCTCCGTAGGTGGTGGTATTCAATTCTACAGCAGGTGTGTAGCAGCTCTTCTGGTGGTGTTAGCAGCCACCCGTGCACTCGCTCAGCTGACTCCACTCCCTCGTTATGGATTGCAAAGTATTGCTATTCTTATTCCAGCTTGCCTGCTTGTTGTCAGAGCACCTGTGTAAAGCGAGCCTTCCCTTCCTAACGCTTGCGGCAACCCGGAGCTCACATTTCCATAGAAAAGGCAGTGTAGGTACTCAAACCCAGGTTACGTACATTTCGGCGCACACACACGTGCTGGAATGATGATGGTTCACTCCCTCGCCAGGTATGGGGCACCAGCTACCAGCTACATAAGCCCTACAGTTGCACAGGTAATCCCTGAGCTCTAAACGCCTGAAAGTGGGTGACACGAGGGCACACTGCAGTAAGTCCTCCCAACCAGTTCCATTGGTTTCTCTCTAGGGTCTGTCCTGCCAGGGCAGTGACTGTCCAGCTGGGGTCTAGGTGGCAGCAGCCTTGCTCTGGCCTGGCTCTACCAGTGGGGCCACAGTGGTCCCAGCTAAAAGCCCCCAAGAGCACGCCGTACCATTTGGCTCTCATACTTCTAGAGTTTGAGGATGATTTCCTTCGGGAAGGGAAGAGAAGTGCCTTCTAATTGAGGGACTGGTGAAAGGACTCAGCATTGTTCCCATCTCCACTGGGGACACAAAGTGATGGGCTAATTCAGTCTCTAGGCCCTCACAAATGAGACAAATGAGACAACAGGTCAGTGGGTGACTTGTCAAGCATTACCTGGCTTTTCCCCTCGAGATTAAAGTGGCCTGCCTTTCCAGAGTGGCTGGGTGTGGCAGGCCAGGAAGGGCAGGTGCACACACACACATCCTGACAAAGTCAGCCCTGAGAGAATTCAGGGGATGAGGACATAGCAGGGTTAGTCACCACGTCCCAAACTCCCACCTCTTCCTCAAAAAGTTAAGGTATCCTGAGCTTCTAGCTACTTTCACATTCCTGCAGGCAGATTGTGGCACTTGATTAAAAATAATAATTAGAGCTCTTCTCCATTATTATTATATTCTGACAACTTTAATTTTGAACCTGTCCAGCTGACTCACAGTAGTCCTGTTAACATGGGCATCACACAGTGATCTTTCCCCTCCATTCCAACTTGCTGGACCCTTCAGGTACAGCACCAGTACTTTTGTGACTGACCTTAAGGTTGAGTAAAGGATGAATAAGCAGAACCCAAAAGGCTTTGAACTTTAGGTGGACCTTTTTGAGCTGTGCACTGCAGGCCTTCAGAGGTTGTAGAAGGTTCAGAAAAGTGTAGAGCTGGTCCCAGGCATCCTGTGAAGGTGGCTGAAGGGTTGGCCATGGTCCTCAGGAGGCACCAAATTATAGAAAGAACACGGATGCTTTGGAGTCACCAGAGCTGAGTGGACACCTCACTCTATGTCTGAAGGACTGTGTGCCATTGGACAGGTCATTTGCTTCTGAGCCTCATTTCCCCATCTCTGAAATGGAGTTGCTGCCTCTGCCTCTCCCAGCAGGTGCATTGGGAGGCGCTGTAATGTCTGTCCTGTCTACACAGTGCCTAGGCTCCAGCATCTCGCGACCCAGTTTGTTGCCCTTGGCTGTACTGAGGATGAGGTGCACAAAACTTCTCCAGATGGTTTTAGCTGAGGAAGTTTAGGGTTAACTCAGCATGAACCACTCTGGAACTAAAGGGAGCCACAGGAAGGAGGGAGAGAAAACTACAAAGGCTTCTAGGAGGAGGCAAAGTCCTGTAGACCTCAGGCAGACAGGCAAAAGGATGCCCTAGCCAGGACAAATCAGTATGCCCAGAGGCAGCACACAGACATGGCTGCCAATATCTGCACTCATCTGAATGCCCGCTGGAGTGACAGGAGACTGACCCAAATTGGTATGAGCCAAAGGAAATGCGCCCAGAACCAAGAGGCCCGGGGGGCTTCAGACCCCACAGCCTGTTTTTTGATTCTGCTTTACCTGGCATCCTCCAGTTCCCCAGCATCCTCTCTTGATGAAATGTCAAAGATGGCCACCCGCAGCAGCTCCAGGCATGTGTTCTTTCAGCTTTACACACCTGGGAGTGTGTGTTAAGCATGGCTGGCTCCTCCCAGCAGCTTCGGCAGAAGTTCTTGGATTCACATTCATCAGCTCAGTGCTTCGTCCAACCCCAAGCCAAGGACTGCTCATCTGTGACAGGTGCCTGCAAACAGTCTCAGTAAGGGGTGGCTGTGAGGCTGTGCAGGCCACAGGTCTCTGTCACCTTTGATTTTTATATCCTTTAAAAATATGAAAATCAGCTCAAAGGCCTCACAAAAATCAGCTAGGGGCTGGCTTCCCCCTCCCCCCAGACCCCACCTCCAAGCCCCAAGACCTTAGTTTGCCAGGTCCTGATTCACAGTGTCCCCATGGACAGACCCAGAGGCTGGGGTCAGGTCAGCTCACCCTCACTGTATGAAGAAAGAGTTGGGGTGGTGTAGCTTCTCCCATATTGAGAGCTGAGCTATGTTTGGTTTCCAGGGAAGGACATGTCAGGGTAGGGAGAAGGAAAATGACAACTTGCATTTGTTGCCTGAATCGTGTGTGGCCTGGTAGTCTGGAGGAGAGGTCGTGTTAGGAAGTTTTGGGAACTGAGACCACATTTGCAGAAGGCCTTGAATGCCTGTCTAAGGATCCCATCCTTGAGGGATCAAGTAGTGGCCTTGGAAGGTTCTTGAACAGGTAAGTAATGTATTGACAAAAGCGTTTTAGGAATATTCATCTCGTGGCACGTGCAGGAGAAATGGGACAGGAGAGACACTGGCAGTGAAATTGTGTTTCTGAAAGTCCCAGGATGAGAAAAATCTACCTCTTTCCATCAACCCCAAACTGTTTGGCATGCCGTGGTTCATGAGCAGCTTGAGGCACATAAATATGTGCTTTAAAGTTTAAAAGTAAGAAGTGAGATGAATGGAGTCTCTGATGAGGCTTCCTCAGGCTCCATTCGGAGAGTTGAGAAGCCCTAGAAATGATTTTCCCCAGCTCCAGCTATGATGAACAATGCAGGGTCCCTCTCCCTTTGTGTGGCTCACCCCAGTCCTCTGCTCCAGGCTTGATTAGAAGCCAAGTGCCCGGATTGCCTTTCCTCCAGAGTAAGGAATAGAGGCCAAATTTCGGAAAATAATTCTGAGTGCTGGTGGACTCTGTCGAGGCGCTGATTGCTTTATAAATGGCATTCTCTCTGCATTCCCCTCACCCCCACCCCCACTACTGAAGTTTGGAGGCAGCCGCTTTTCAAATTACGCTTCGAAAGCAGCCTGATTTCCCACAGGAATCATCTCCTAGATTAGGAGCTGGTCTACCTTTTCCGACAGTTTTACTTAGAGTACAAAGCCTGTCGGCAAAGGACGAGGAGGAAGCCATGCCCTCTTCACTTCAAAGCGTTTGGCACCAAGCATTTCTGAAAATGCATCTCACAGCAGCCTAAGCCAGCATCTGGGGCTGCCTGCCCACATTTGCAGCAGGAAAGGGTTAAAATACACTGATGAATGGCTGCCTCCATCACCCCCTTCCATTTTCCAAACCTCCTTATGTAATTTGCCATTCTTTTTGCACAACAGCTCCGGGTCTCAACCTTCTGTCAATCAGTACCCTCACGTCCTCAGCTTCCTCCCACACAGGCGGGCTCAGAAGGAAGGAAAGCACCTTGCAGAATCTCTGAGGCCGTTTCCAAGGGAAAGAAAAAGATGGGATGAAAGGCTAGGGGAGAGTCTGGAGGAGCCATAGTGAAGAGTCAGAAGTTTCTTCTTGAAATATAAAACACATTGTATCCCCCACCTCCAGTTGGCCCATCCTGTCCTTCCCCACCACGTGGACCCTGCCTGGTGCTCATTCTGCCCTGAACACTGCCCCATTATCCTGCAGAAAGCCAAAGAGAACGCAGCTCATAAGTGACCTCGGGGGCTCCCTTCCCCTCCCCAAGCCTCAGTTGCCCTGTCTCCAGGCATGGCTCCACCTCCTAAGATTCCTGTGATAAGTACCACAGTGTCGGCAAGGATGGAAGGTGTGTGTGTAAATTGGCACAGGCTCTTTGCAGGTCAGTTGGTCAGCAGATACCCGTGAGCAAAGATGCGTGTGCATACGCTAGTCACTGCAGCGTTCTTCCCAATTTACAAACTCACGAATACTAAATGCCTTGTATTTGCCAGGCCTAAGGTTTATATTAATGCAAATTTTGACTGGAAACAAAAGATAGG